CCTCTAATTGGTGTCTAGCAGAGCAGTTTAATACAAAAGTTAGTATACTTGTTCAGTTACGTAAACACTCTTCGCAGCACGACATGATCATGCCCGTTACCGTAAGCTGCATTCTCGTGGACGTCACGACGTGACTAATTTGTATATAAATTATTATTATTATTATTGGTACGTCCTGGGCTTTCCAATTACGACGTGCTACTGTGTACAATTCATCAGCCAAACACGCTGTGATTCGTCGTAAACAAACATGACTGCCTACGAATAAGCTTAATAAGAATGTTGGAATATATGCACACATTTCCAGCCTATACATTCGACTAGAACTTATTTGCTCGTCAAATTTAAAGCTGGAGGGTCGTCACCTGAGCACACGCGGGAATTGAGTCCCAAGTGACGATAACAACACACGCTAAAAACGCAAATGTTGGTGACCGTTTTGACTTGCTCCGATGTAATTTGGTACGAGGATACCAGACATAGAGTCTGCAGGATGAGAGCTACACAGATTTCTAAAAGCGGGAGGGACTTCACCTATGCCCGCGCGGGAATTGAGTCCCAGGCGATGATAACAACATACACTTAGAACGCAAATGCTCATAGGTAGACGCTTGTTTGTAAACAATAACAAGCTATGACCATCTGACGCATGCGCAGGTGACGACTCCCCCGCTTTAATTTGATGAATTCTATGCTGGTCGACCAAATTATTCAGGCCATGCGATCACGTGATCGACCAGAGCAAACGATTCCTACACTTGTCATATCTAGATCAAATCAGGTCAAGTACTACATTAATGATTGTCAAATACAATTATGATATGTTGTCGTTTGTGTTTGATTGCAGTTCCCGCCCAGGCTGTGCTGTACTGACGGTTGAAGTGCGATGTTATCTGTATTCAAAGGTGTGTAATTGGCGAACTACGCATACGTGATCCAAATAGAGAATACACCGGAAAACCTGATTGCGTGTGAACTGAAAAGAAAACAGACGTTGACATCTAAAGGCTGCTTTGTGTTTGCGATATCAGTCGTAATGCGAGGTGACGTCACGCCGAGAATCTCCGCGATAAGGAAACTACTTAATTGACTGTAGTCAAATACGGCTGTTATTGTGACGAATATGTTGGCTATGCTGTAGCACGGTCACCAGTGAACATGGCTGTAAACTGGGCCAACTGGTAACGAGATTTGTTGATCGACATCACCCTTCATCGATGAGGGATAAAAATTATCCAAAGATAACGCAACCCGTGAAGTAAGTCGCGTGGGTGTAAATACCTACGTCACCGATTTACAAGGTTGTCGTCCGACCCACCGTGCGCGAAAGTGCATGTAATGGTTGGACACGACGGACAATATGAAGTTCCATTATCGATTAGTTTTCACTTCGGCCATCATCTTCTTGGCTCTGTTCTTCTTACTATCTTCTCACTCCTATAATCTCGTTGATAAACTGGTGCCGGAACACGCCTCATTCGCAAATAATTTGCGCCAGACCGGAGACACTGCTTCTGCATCTTTGAATTGCACGTGGAATACGACGTCGGGTAATTTGTTTGATATGTTGAAACAGCTAGATGATGGCAGTAGCGGGAATCCCAAGAAACAGGTACGGGTCCTCGTCCACGCACGGATGCGAACAGGGTCGTCTGTCACCGGTGGACTTTTTAACGACTACCCAGATTTTTTCTTCTTGTACGAGCCTGGTCATATGCTGGTTGAGCACAAAAAGATGGATCTTTATGGGGACAACTTTAAAGATTTAGAAAAGCTACGGCCGGATTTGATGAGTTTTTTAAACGACACCTACCACTGCAATTTCAGTGGAAAGGATTTTTATTTGAAAAGTCTAAAACGGCACCGGTTTATGCGAGAGAACAACCGAGCTTTGCGCGGAATGAAACTTCCGATTAAAGAAAATGATTTGATTAAAGTGTGCGAATCAAAAAGTCACATCGCGGTAAAGACAGTTCGTCTCAATAGCTTGATTCTCGCCGAGTCAGTGCTACGGGAAAACGAAGTCCGTGTTGTTCACGTGGTGAGGGACCCGAGGGGAATGATGCCGTCACGTCGACACATGCAGGGTATGAGGACTAGCTCTGGGGTCACGTTTGAACCGAAACTCGAACGCGTCGTCAAAGACTATTGCGATTGGCTGGAACACAACCACGTGACAGAAAACACCGGTCCTGATTGGCTCAGAAAACAGTACTTTTGTCTTAGGTACGAGGATTTAGTGGATCGACCTTTGACCTTTGTTCCCGAATTATTCAAATTCGCCGGGTTACCGTTAAATGATGCGACAATGTTGAGAATCAATTCCGAGGAATGGTGGAGCAATCACGGAGAGAGGTGGCGGGCTGACGTCACGATGAAAGAGGTACTACGAATTCAGGAAATATGCGGGGAGCATATTTTTTCGACGTTGGGATATAAAATGGTGTATAATGAAGAAGACTTAACAAATATGAATAAGAGTTTACTAATGCCCTTTTGATAAAACTTGGGATATGTTCCGTCACTGATGGAATAAGACTTCCGGAAATGTAATAAGCAACACCTCGGTTTAGTTTCTGTCTCGAAGTTAGATTTTATTTTGCAAAAATGGTTGACCGAAGGTGTGGGTTTAATTATGCAAGTCGTGGTAAAATGGTATATCACGTTATTTGTGTTTAAAAGTAGGTCCCTGGTATGAATAACACATGTACATTCCCATGGGTGAATTGTGTTATTAACTGAAACGCTCAAAATATTATTTTGCGCTACAGACATATAACAAATATTCTGACGTTTTATATTCAAAAGAGATACATTAGAAAAATAATTTACGTAAACGACGCCAGGAAAATGACTTTGTCTGCAGTGGCTGGTCCGTGAACTTAGTAGTAATTACGATCCTCAAAACGTTGTATGATTTACGCCGAACGCGGGTGCGAATTTGTGCCATCGCTCGATTTGACGTATGCTAGTTCCAGGACCCATTTCATTTAATTGAGATTGTAAGTAGAACATTTCAGATGTTGTATCAAACTTGAACTTGTTATTTGGTGCTTTAAAGGTATTTGCATGCTACATGATTACATTGAAAGCGGGGGAGTCGTCACCTGCGCATGCGTCAGATGGCCATAGCGTGTCATTGTTTACAAACAAGCGTATACTCATGAGCCTTTGCGTTTTTGACGTGTGTTGTTATCGTCACTTGGGACTCAATTCCCGCGCGTGCGCAGGTGATGACCCTCCCGTTTTAAATTTGACGAGCAAATAAGTTCTAGTCGAATGTATTGGCTGGAAATGTGTGCATATATTCAAACATTCTTGTGACGACCCTCCCGCTTTAAAATGAAGTTGATATAATGTAATAGCAATAAATACCGACGCAGTCGGGTTACCACACGATACTACGCAATTCATTCTATATAAACACTCTCCGAATATTGTCAGGTAATGTAAGTAAATTGAGTTACATTGAAAGGCGGAAAACTGTACCTAAACTATATAAAATATCTTTATATTTATAACAATTTATATTTATAAGAATCAACTTTCATTCAAATTCAAATATTTTATAATGAATACCTCGAGAGCATCACATAATCCATGGCCATAATTCACAAGCCTTCGGATGACATCATGACAGCAACTGCGTACGCGCCTGCTAACTCATTCAAAATGGAAGGCTTATTGGTTAGATGATGCTGAATTGATTCATTAATATTAATTAAACCTCGCGACGATGTCACCATATTGTTTCTGCATTGGTAAATTTGAATTTTACCTGTCATTTTTTGTTTATAAACATTTATAAAACGTTATTAACACCCCTGGCTTTATGCCCTTCACTGTACTGGTTTTGCACATTATTTCATTCCTTCACTTAGTGTTGTGCCGACCCAATTTGTTCAGCATGATGAAATCTTCAGTGATTTTTTTATGTTCTTTTACTTATATTGTTTTCGGTGCAGACCCCCCCCCCCAAGCAAAATATCTACAACCCCATCCAAGGGACAAACCAATAATTGGTGTAACTGCCCTGTGCGTTCATTGAATAACTGCAACAAACTCCCATTAATTCAAATGACCCAACCCTGAGTGAAACACGCTCGCACATTTTAGTCGGTGACGTGTTTTGACACGCGCATCAGGGTTATGAATATTTAATTGAGGTTATTACAAAAGGCTCGTCTGAATACGTGTCAGGGCTCTGGAGCGATCCATTTATTTTACATCATGCCAATTATTTTCAAACAAGAAATGCAACGTCACGCTGTGTCTCAAAGGTCACTATGATACAACAATCCACGTGTCCGTTTCCCACGCACAACATAGCAGTCAGATAAGAAACGCGCGGGAAACGTGGGAACATATAATATAATTAGTAGTAGAATACTGTGGAAAATGTCTCATATGTAGCCACAGATATATATGTTATTTTTTCTCAGATTTTGTCGTACTATGCTATATGTAAAATAGCAAGTTGATCGGTCAAAGCATTAACGAGACACAGCTGCGACCAATCACTGTGACTGATCAACATTATTTAATCTTTTTTTCTTCAGAAAATGATGCAGGCAAAGCATCAAGTTGATCGGTTAAAGCACTCATTAGAAACAAATGCCTCAAATTGATTACATTTTTGAGTCCAAACAAACGTGGACCTAACCCTAAATATGATATGAAAAATAAAAAGAAAAGAAAGTTTACTAATATCGTTTGTGAAATTGCTATGCATATAGAGTGTGGAGCATTGGTTAATGTATTCATGTCATTAGTCTGCGTCACGTATAAACATTGTCAGTGTTTTTAATAATCTGGGAAAGTAGGTCTTAAATGTAATGTTCAGAAAATATATTTCGTCTTTCAAAAGATCACTGTCACACTGTTTACAAATTCTCCTCATGATTAGTGTTTCGGGATATATATATATCTTTCTTTTCAATATGCAAATCATGGTTGCGGGTTCTAAGTTTGGCCATACCAATATTATGTTTTATATTAGTAATAGATAAGTATGGTCCATAGTCTTTTTTAAATGTGCCAAATTTCTTAACATCCTTTCTAAGTTGTGATTAGTATAGTTTTCTTCAATTTTGGGTTTACAGTATTTAAAGGTTTGTTTGTGAAAGTTCTGATTTTAAATTATTATTTTTATGATATCATTCACTAACGACAGTCACTTATGATCATTTGGTGATTTTATTGTTTGTTTTGTGCTTTTTAGTTAAATTGTTTTCTGTAAATATTTGAGCAAAATATTCGAAATATCAATTAATAATGCAAAATTGCTATCTCTTTTCTTTAAGCAGCATCACTTGCATTATATCTATTCAGTCAAAATTTTCTTTTGCCGAGTGACAGGTGTAATCTTCAATGAAGCTTTTTGTCCCATCGTGTAAAATCAATAATTTCAGATCCCCATATATCTATATTCTATAATAGAATTAGTTTGATGTTTGACTCACACAACTTGGTATAGATTTTAACATTTGTGTTGTATGGAGGGGTTTTGTTGAGTACAAATATAGCATTTGCTGCTTTTCCAGCGAAAGTCTGTCTAGCTCCTTGGAAATTCGTAGATGATGTCACCAGGATGCATATATAGTGTAGCTAAGTACAGACCTGATTTTGTTGTCCTATATCCATTTCTCCGATAACCTTAGTGATCTTTTGCGGAAAATCATGACTTTAGTTTAAGATAAATTAATCTCCATATTCACCTTGTTACAATACTTCTGAAGAATGTTGATTTATTTCTGTAAGCCAGTCGATTTTATTATGACATTAATACTAAGTCATTTGCATATCCGTGAAGTAAAAGTGTAACCATTCAAAGTAATTGGATCAAATGGTTTCTTTCTATCTAATTAATTACTTAGATTATTAATGAAAACGATGAATGGAATAAGGCAAATTGCACATTTTCTTAAATTGAATATCTTTGGTTTTTAATCACTGAATGAAAACAAAAATATAGAAAGACTATAGCTTAATTGCTGTACTACGTTTTCATGTTGCATAGAACACACTTTTGTAACTAGACGGAAAGTAGAGATGCACTGTTTGAGCTCATAGAGGATACCAATTTGTCTCTTCTTGGTAGATCAGAAAAAAAACTCGAGTAAATACTGACATCTTAACTTTTTTATAAAATGGACATACCAGACATGAAATGAAATTCATCTTCAATTTGGTTATTGGTACTGAATATGCAAATTATAACGGTTCGGCCATTATTTTGTTGTCAGTTTTTATTCTCAAATTATGTGCCGATAATCTAAATTTACATGAACATATTGTCAACTACTGTGAGGTACATTCCATATGCAAATATAAATTTGAATTGACTACATGTTGTGAGCATTGGTGATTGGTTTAATTTGCTTTGCTTAAACAGTAAAAAGAAATATTGAGCATTATCTACACCTCGGTTCAGCCATGCATCCACCATACCATATAAAAACAGTAACTGCACATGCCTTGTCCAGGTTACCCGTTCGTTGTCCGTTTCAAGCGTGAGCACGACGGTTAAGTAGGCATGGTTAAGAAGTGCAGCCAATCTTTAACGATGTGAACGAGTCTACGCAAACGTAATGTATAGCGCCCAGGTGCCACGTGAAGCGAGAACTGCAGAGAATTATTTGAGAATTGAGCGAGGATTCAATTTCGTCCTCACTGTGGAATCAATAAATCTCACTACCTTACATTAGGACTGGCAAAACAATCGAATATAATTAATAACCAAGCACGCGTTTAATTCATCGAAACGTGGCATAGCTTTTATATCACCACTGACTGTGCCAATTTATCCCAACTACAGAAAACTATTCCGAGATAAATGGGCTCTATTTTATGTATGGCTCTATTTTTTGAACTGCCAGCTCTACTGCTTTTCCGAAATTACGAAGATTTACGAAAAAATCGACAAGTTGAATTTAAGTTTTCTTTTAAACAAGCATTAGAGTCCGATTGGCGACTACTGACTAGAGCTAGATCGTCGGCGAAGAATAAATAAAACAACTTATATATACAGAGACCTGACTTTTTATGTTGAATACAGTCACAAAGGTGATTGATGACAAGTAACGGGGATAGAACGTTTCCTTTTTGTATTCCCATTTTACATTGCCGGGAAAAATTCAGTTATTCCCGCGGGAGATCGAACACAGGCAGACATGGAATACAGACCTCGAAATAGTTTATCCTTGATATACACTTTTAAGCTTGTAAAACAATAAGTTATGGTTAATTCGGTCAAAAGCTTTTTGAAAGTCAACAAACACACTCCACCCTTGATACGTGGATATCTCGAAATAAGTGCCTATAGTATGTATTATAAGTAGTTAAAATGTTTTTTTGAGAAACTAGCGGATTATATATTTCGACCCACTAATTTAGTCTTCGATACAGAATGTGACTGAAAATTTTAACAATACATGATATTAGGACAATTCTACTATAATTAATTGTTGACATCCTCCAACGTCTCTTTTTTGTGTATAA